CCTTGATAAAGCGATCTAAAGCTATGTAGATTGTATCCCCTTGAATGCAACCAGCCTATAGAGAAACTCAGCAAATTTTTCTACACAATACGATGATAGACATTTATATAACTAACTTATTACAAAATGTCTGAAGATAGGCAGTAGGCTATGATCCAAGATGAGGGAAAAAGTGTAAGTACGGTGGCAGGTTCCGTGAATATACAGCATTAAAGATGACAACATTGCACTTACCTTGAGGAGGAAAAATAGTACAATAACAACAAATTTCCTACCAAGAGCATAGGAACACAAATTAACAATTTCATTTGTTTCATGTGTAAGACACTAAGTTGGGAGTAATTTTGATTTAAGAAAAAACATTTGAATAAGGGTTTGATTTCACTTAAAAATCAAACTGAATTGTGCTGCTTGATTTGGTGGATTCTTAGAAAATAAAATAGCATCATCTGCCTCTCTCCTGTGGCTCTTAACCAGATTGTATTAATACATTTTTATTATTAACAGAAAAATTCTTTTTTAATACCATCAGCCACTGTTAGACCCGACAGGGTCTCCAGCCACGTTAAAGGTGCTAAGTGGCACTTCAGTATTTGCTGACTTTTTAAGATGTAGAGTCAAATAAAATTTGCTGTGTCTCCATTACGGACTAGGAAATGTGCTAAGGGCTGAATGGATCTTGGTCTAAGACAACCAGAACCCCTGTTTCACCAGACATCAGTGTGGTAGAAGAAAAAAACTATAAACAAGTAAACAAGTATCAGAAAACCAAAGGGTAGATGAAGAGGTGACCTCTGATGAGGTGGATATTTGAGCAGAGGTGAATGTGTAGAAAAGCCCAGCCACGCAGATATGAAGAAAGTCCCAAGCCCAGGAAACAGCCAGTGCCAAGGCCCTAAAGCAGGGATGGACTGGGGAAGAGACCAGCTCTAAGCACCTTATAATGTATTTATGGCACATCTGCTCCTTCTCAGAGCTGGGGGAAGATCTAAGTACACAGGGAGGGGAGTATCACACACTATGGTCTGTTGGGGAGGACAGGGCGAGGGACAGTGGGGTGTAGGGAGTTGGGGAGGGATAACATGGGGAGAAATGTCAGATATAGGTGATGGGGATGGGGGGGCAGCAAACCACATTGTCACGTATATACCTATGCAACAGTCCTGCATGTTCTTCACATGTATCCCAGAACTTAAAGTGCAATAAAATATTAAAAATAAATAAATAAGACTGATCTGTAGCTTTCAAGAGGCAGGCCTTCTAAAGATCATCAGCAGTCCCTTCATTCCTCCCTCTTATCTTGCAGATGAACTCAATTTTGCCATGACATTCAATCAGGATGGTTTGCTCAGCTTCCCGCAGAACTTGACTCATTTCAAAATCCTAAATGGGTTTTCTCCCTTTCCTATGTTTCTCTTTCTTTCTATACCTCCATACAATGTGGGGCCTAATTTTATGAACTAGAGAATTTTTTTCTTACTTTTTAATTTAAGAAAATGTCATAATGTAGCTTTTCTAATGCTTCAGAATCACTATGTTCAGAAACAAAACATTGTATATATACAAGAGATAGCAAGCCAATTTATTTATTATCAGTCTAGAAGAAACATATTTTCAGAAGAATAGGTGTCAATGTGTTCTGTGATTCCCTTTTTGCTTTTTTGCCCTCTCTTAGAAGCAGTTGGTGATTCTTGGAAAATCATCTGTTTTCAGGGAAACTCATAATTAAAAGGAAATTCCATTACTTTGGATATAATGCTAGAGTACTTGACACATTTGTCTTTTTCCCTATCTACATTCAAAATGAACTGTTTTTAAATCTGCTTGTAACTTCATGGTATAGTCAATTACATACTTCAAAATCCTTTTTGATTGGCAGTTAATTTTATATCCCTAGGCTAATATTATAAAAGCAATCTCCAAGGGGTGCATCTAATTATAATGTCTCTGAGAGCTGGCTGTTCTGGACTAAATGTGACTAGTGAAACGCGAGTTGACCTCTCATATGCATTCAGAGGAGGCAAAATGTCAACATACCAGCTGGTGAGGGGGAGAGGGTGCAATGAAAATAGTAGTTAATTGGAAAGTTGGAGACATGCTTGAGGACTACCTCCATCAATTAACACCTGATGGTTTTAGAGAGAAGCTTAATATCTCTAAGTGTCATGTTTTGCTTCTGTGAAATAGAATTACTACTACCTCTGTAATATGTCTCAAGATACACAATTACACATGACATGTGAACTTTGCCCCAAGACACACAATTACATATGACATGTAAAAGTCCTCTTCAATGTCTATATGTGGGAAGGCAGCATGGCCTAATGTTATTCTTCACTTTACTGTTATTATTATTCCTCACCTATTATTCCTCAACTTATAGTTGAAACCCAAGGCAAGATGACTTAAGTAGTGAATTCTGCCAAACATTTATAAAAGAATTAGCACGAGTCCTCTCCAATCTCATCCAAAAAATGAAAAAGACTTCCAAACTTGTATATGTGACTGGCATTACACTAATTCCAAAGTCAAAGACACTATGGAGAAAGAAAACTAGAGACCAATATTGAATATTAATGCAAAAATCCTCAAAAAAATACTAGCAAACCAAACTCAATAGCACATGAGAAGGAATATACACCATAACAAGTACAATTTATTCCTGGAATGCAAAGATAGTTCAATGTATGATAATAAATGTAATACACCACATTAACAAAATTAAGAAAAAAATAATATGACCATTTCAACTGATACAGAAAAAGCATTTGACAAAATTTATCAGCTTTTCATGATGAAAACACTCAACAAACTAAAAACAAAATTAACTCAACATAATAAAGGCCATATGCAAAGTGTCCACAGCTAATATTATACTCAATAGTGGAAGACTAAAAGCTTTTCTTCTGAGATCAGAACAAAACAAAGATATCCACTTTCACCACTTCTATTTAGCACAGTCCTAGAAGGTCTAGCCAGGGCAAATAGATAAGAAAAGGAATGAAAAGGCATCCTAATTGGAAAGAAAAAAGTGAAATAATCTCTGCTTGCAGATAACATAATCCACTATGTAGAAAATCCTAAATATTCCACAAAAACTGTTATAATTATCAAACAAATTTGGCAAAGTTACAGAACACAAAATCAACATTCAAAAAGCAGTTGCATTTCTATACACTATCAATGAGAAATACAAAAAAGAAAATTAAGAAAACAATTACAGTAGTATCAAAAGGAATAAAATACTTAGGAATAAACTTAGCCAAGGTAACAAAAGACTTGCACTCTGCAAACTATAGTATGATTCTGAAAGAAATTAAAGACACAAATAAATGAAAATAAATACCATCTTCAAAGTTTGGAAGGCTTAATATTGTTAAGATATCAATATTACCCACAGTAAACGACAGTTTTAATGCAATCCTTATCAAAATTTCAATGGCACTATGGTATTTATTTTTAAAATAAAAAAATGTATCCTAAAATTTGTAGGAAACTTCAGTGTACCCCAAATAAACAAAATAATCTTGAAAAAGAACAAAGTTGGAAATCTCACACCTCCTGACTTCAAAACTTATTACTAAGCTATAGTAATCAAAACAGTGTGGTAGGGGCATAAACACAAATATATGGCCAATGGAATTGAATAGAAAGCCCAGAAATAAACTCTCAAATGTACAAACAAATAAATGCTATTAAGCAAGGGTGCCAAGACTACCCAATACAGACGAGACGGTCTCTTCGTCAAATGGTATTGAGATAACTGTATAACTGTAGGCAAAAGAATGAAGGTGGGCTCTTATTTTATACCATATACAAAATTAAACCCAAATGGATTAAAGGCTTAAATGTAAAACCTAAAGTTATAAAACTCCTAGAAGAAAGCACACAAAAAAGTTTCAAGACATTGGATTTTGCAACAATTTCTTGGATATAACCAGTAGCACAGGAAACTAAAGCAAAAATACACAATGGGATTACACCAAATTTAAAGACTTATGCATATCAAATGAAACAGTCAGTCAGCAGAGTTAAAGGGCAACCTAAGGAACAGGAGAAAATACTTGTAAATCATGTATCTAACAGGGTGTTAACATCAAGGATATATTTAAAAATAAAAAAAAAACAAACAAAAAAGAAAACACACCTACAACTCATAACAAAAGAACAAACAACCTGATTAAAAAATTGGCCAAGGACTTTAATACATTTCTCCAAAAAATAATGTATAAATGACCAACAAGCATATGTAAAGATTCTTAAAATCACTAATCATTACAAAAATGCAAATCAAAACTACAATGAGAATTCTATCATTTCATGCATATAACTACTATAAACAAACAAACAAAAAGAACAATAAGTGTTGATGAAGATGTGGACAAACTGGAACCCTTATAACTAATGGTAGGAGTGTAAAATGGTGCAGCTGCTTTGGAAAACAGTATGGTTGTTCCTCAAAAACTTAAAGGTAGAATTACTACGCGATCCAGCAAGCCAAGTTCTGGGTATATATCTCCAAAAGAATTGAAAGCAGGATCTCAAAGAGGTAGTTGCATACCCATGTTCATAGCAGTATTAATCACAACAGTCACAGGGTGGAAGTAACTCAAATGTCCGTCAGTGGATGACAGGATAAACAAAATGGGGTCGATACATACAATGGAGTGTTATTCAGCCTTAAAAAGATAGGATATTCTGACACATGCTATAACCTGGATGAACCTTGATGATATGATGCTAAGTGAAATAAGCCAGTCACAGAATGCCAAACACTATATGATTCCATGGATACGACGTACCTAGAGTAGTGAAGTTCATAGAGACATAAAGTAGCATAGTGGTTTCCAGGAGTTGGGGACTGAGGGAAATTGAAAGTTGTTGTTTAATGAACATAGAGTTTCAGTTTTGCAAAAGAAAAAGAGTTCTCAAGATTGGTAGCACAAGTAAGTGAATATAATAATACTGCTGAACTACTCACTTTTAAAAGTATATTAGGCATGCTCACTTCAGCAGCACATATACTAAAGCTGGAATGATACAGAGAAGATTAACATGGCCCCTGAGCAAGACTGACACACACATTTGTGAAGCGTTCCATATTTTTGTCACCACCAGGCCTGCCTTACAAGACCTCCTGAAGGAAGCACTAAACATGGAAAGGAACAACCGGTACCAGCCACTGCAAAAATATGCCAAAGTGTAAAGACCATCAACACTATGAAGAAACTGCATCAGTAATGGGCAAAATAACCAGGTAGCACCATAATCACATGATCAAATTCACACATAACAATATTAACCTTAAAGGTAAATGGGCTAAATGCCCCAATTAAAAGACACAGACTGGCAAATTGGATAAAGAGTTAAGACCTATCAACGTGCAATATTCAGGAGACCCATCTCACGTGTAAAGACAAACATAGGCTCAAAATAAAGGGATGGATGAATATTTATCACACAAATGGAAAAAAAAAAAAAAAAAAAAAAAAAAAAAAAGCAGGGATTGCAATCCTAGTCTCTGACAAGACAGACTTTAAACCAATAACAATCAAAAGAGAGAAAGAAGGCATTACATAATGGTAAAGGGATCAATGCAATGAGAAGATCTAACTATCCTAAATATATATGCACCCAATACAGGAGCACCCAGATTCATAAAGCAAATTCTTAGAGACCTACAAAGAGATGTAGGCTTGCACAAAATAATATTGGGAGACTTTAACACCCCACTGTCAATGTTAGACAGATCAACAAGACAGAAAAATCACAAGGATATCCAGGACTTGAACTCAGCTCTGGACTGAGTAGACCTAACAGACATCTACAGAACTCTCCATTCCAAATCAACAGAATATACATTCTTCTCAGCACCATATCACATTTATTCTAAAATTGATCACATAATTGGAAGTTAAAACACTTCTCAGCAAATGCAAAAGAATGGAAATCATAACAGTCTCTCAGACCACAGTGAAATCAAATTAGAACTGAGGATTAAAAACCTCACTCGAAATCACACAACTACATGGAAAGTGAACACATGGCACATATACACCATGGAATACTATGCAGCCATAAAAAAGGATGAGTTCACATCCTTTGCAGGGACATGGATGAATCTGGAAACCATCATTCTCAGCAAACTAACATGAGAACAGAAAACTAAACACTGCGTGTTCTCACTCACAAGTGGGAGCTGAACAATGAGAATGCATGGACACAGAGAGGGGAATATCACACACCAGGGCCTGTCAGCTGGTGAGGGGGTAAGGGAGAGATATCATTAAACGAAATACCCAGTGAAGATGATGGGTTGATGGGTGCAGCATATTGCCATGGCACATGTATACCTATGTAACAAAATTGCATGTTCTGCACATGTACCCTAGAACTTAAAGTATAATAATATATAAATAAAAAATAAAAATATATATTAGGAACATTTGTTAATTATAGCTTCATGTATGGTAAACACAGAATCATTTTGCAAAGAAACTGTCACTTACTTTATGTTTGGATTTCTACATAATTATATAGTAAACTTTCCTATGTTTTTTAAAAATATAAGAAAAACTGGAACTATTCTTTCCCTCCCCTTTTGAAAAATCACACTGAGCAAAGAAACCATAATAATCACAAAGTCTTTGTTCCTAAAGGGCGCAGACAGACTGGCTTGTTCAAAGTGATCAGGAAAAAATTAACTTGGAATACATATATTCTCTACAAAGGGAAGACATATAAGAGAAATTGCATTTATGACTCTCTGACATAACACCATTAAGTTATTTTTAAACGTCACCTTGAATTACAAAGGTTGCATCATATTACCATTCTATTTTCCAACCAAATAAGCTCACTGATATAAATTGCTATTTTGACCAGATGTGGTAAATCTGATGTTGGTCTTGAAAATGATCTTTGAAATCTTTGCCAGATTTTAATAATTCATTTTCTGCCTATAATACATTGGCCAGATGTACATATTATTATTAAGCACATCGAAACAAAATTATTTACAATATGCTTCTTGTGTTTTCTGATCTTTATGGAGTTTTCCACAAAGTTTGTTAATTTGCTGGTTACAAAAGAATAACTTTGCAAGAGACATTGGGAGAGGATTGAGTAGACTAACTGATATCCACATAGATTTCCATGAATATCTTTCGTGGTTGAGTGCAATGCATACTGCATCATACTATGTGCCCTTCAGATAAGTCTGTCTTATTTATGGATACTTGTGATGAGCAGAGTCTGTCCCATCTTAACTGACTATTTTATTTTTTTCCTTCCACTCTAAGCAGTGAAAAGGTGTGAGGAAACTGGCAGAGAGAGACAAAACATGCTATGTAGGCCCTTTTCAGTATTTTAGGTGCTTATTTTCATTCTGCTCAGCATGGGCTAGGCTCATTTTCTCTGAAGCAGCAGGCTCTGAAGAGATCTGACAGTAGTAAAAAGAAAGGACATTTTAAAATAAGTACATATCCCTGCTTTCATGCTTTTGATAAGCTTGTAGAAGCTGAGATAAAGGCCAATTTACAGACCCAGGCTGGAACAACAACAAAAAATATGCTGAGTCAAGAGAATTCTCATGCATCCAAGAGAATACCTGATGGACCAAGATGAAACACAAATGCATAAGACTACTAATTGAGGCATTGGGAACAAGGTTTTATCACTGTGTCTGTCTGTATCAGATATTCTTTACGTATACTGAATGCACACACAGGCCAGGGTTTTCAGGGTTGAAGTGACATACCCTCCCTGTTGGTGAGTATGACCTCCCAACCACCACCCAGCTTATCTTCTAGAGGTGCAAAGTCAGCAGGTACACAATACTTCTTATACTGTGCACCCTAATTAGCTCACTCTAGTCCTACCTGTATGATATAGAGACAAGACTTTCAGTAGCTTCTAAAATGATGGTTTTCGATTTTCATTATCATCAAATCACCAAAAATTTGAAGACTATGAAAAATTGTAATGAAGAAAATTTAAGTAGCTCAAAATAGCAGAGTAACCATGAACACCCTAAACCTTCTTTATAAAGTGCCTTTTTCAATGCAGTGTTCTCAGTATTACAAATTTGCTATCTTATACCACATGAGTATATGTATGCATGTATATATACATCAGTATAGGTATGCACGTATACATACATGCATACACACACAAACTTCATAATGCTTATATTCTGTGAGACCACTACACCTGGGACTATTTTTTCTCAGCTTTCCCCACCGCCACCACCACTACCTCACTGTTATCGTTCTGAGGACATCAAATGTTAGTCAATACAACGGTGGTCCTCTCTCTTCCTCTCTATGACCCTGAAGAATGACACAGCCCCCAAAATGGAATGGATGAGTTCCTGAGTAACAGCACAGGGGAAAGCTGCTTGCTAAAATAAGAGCAATATCACTGGGCTGTTAATGAGTGAAAAACAAACTTTTATTTTATTAAGTCACTGAAATTTGCGGGTTGATTATAGAAGCTAGTAACATATATGTAGATAATAATAACAGATAGATAATGTTTTACATACAGCAAATAGATAAATATATTAATGAGATATTTATCTATTACACTCACAGGTCATAATAGGTTTTCTGACTACCTTTCTGTGTGGCTGTCAACAAGGGGAATCCTGGAGTCTCTGCAAATTGGAGGTAATGTCTACAATGTAAGATTATTGTAAGAATTAAAGAGCAGATGTGTCTGGTATAGCACTCTGTGTCTGGTATAAAGAAAGTGTTTGGTATTGGTGCTAATTATTTAAACAAACACAGGAAACAAATAACAGCCATTTTTAATAAGATAGCTATTGTTTTTCTTGTATTGAGCCAAGGAAGCATGTTAGCATTCTTTTATTACTTTATATTTTGTACCTCACCTACTTCTCAAGATGATTTGAGTCAGTTGATTTAAAACATGTTTACCAGGAATAAGTGTTGAAGCAATTCATTTATCACTGAAATGGTAAACCTAGCCAAATTAAGGCCATTAATGCACTTCTTAAAATTTAAAAAGTGCTTGATATCCATTAAGAAATGCATAAAAGTTTAGTTTGAGGGTGAATATGGCAATGCTTCTTATTTTAGTGTATCTAAAGGAAAATGATGGGAAAACATTCCCATTATCAACTAAGATAAAGAATCAAAGATTTGGGATTTTAAATCAGTAGTAAATGTATACTTTCATTCTTATTTAACAGGTATACAACAGACAAAAAACTCATGAACATTATATAAACATCAGTGACAAAAATATACATCTATTAAACAACAAATGCATTTAACCAAATTTGCAGTTATCTGATATGTATCAAGTGCCATGCCAAGCATGATACATGGACCCAGTTTTTAAGCACAACATTTTGTATACTAAATCTAGTTTTCCCTGAAAACATTGATTAAAGCTAACTAGATGAATGGAATCTCATATTAGATGTGGCCACACAAGTGAAGAAGCCAACTGGCAGAAACTTTGTAACTATGAGAGGTAAAATATATAAAGGCCTGGCACACATAGGAAATCAACATGTAATCCTTATTGTCATTTTCAGTACTTTCTGTTCAATAGGCCTCCTTCTAATTATTACTCATACTTACTTCTAAAAAGAAATTGCCATAGACAGAGGTACCAGGACCATATGGTAAATGGAGTTGTTCTTTACATCAAAATAAATTTATGACTTCTCCAAAGTTAAGCTGTAAATGACAACTTAAACATATGTTACCTTCTTCCATACATGGCATAAATATCACTTACAATAGCCCTATTTTGTGAAGAATTTTTCTGCAAAGAGTAACAGTACCTAGCCTTATCCAAAGCAAAAGAATGCATACAGTTCATTCCATCAAAAACATGGTATTAACAATAGTTAGCTTTAACCCATTCAAGAGAAATTAATAATACAAATATGGTAATACTCTTATGAAAAGTTCATATATGTCTAGACCCATGGGCTTTGAAGGCAAAGTGGTTAATGTGCTTTCAGGTCTTAACAAAAATGCAAAATTCATAGTTTGGAACTAGAATGACTTAGCTAAAGGAAAAATTCATTTTTCCCATGATCGAGGAAGCAGTCGATGGTCCTAAATCCCT